CTCGAGTATGGCGGCGGCGGCGCTGGGCAGTTCCTGTGGGTCCGCGTCCCCGGCGGTGGCCGAGCTCTGTCAGAACACCCCGGAAACCTTCCTGGAGGCCTCCAAGCTGCTGCTCACCTACGCGGACAACATCCTCAGGTGCGGGGCCGCGGGCGGAACGCGTGCCAGCGGGCGGGGCGCGGCGCTCGCGCGGCCGGGTTTAGGGGCGCCCGGCTGGCCCCGGGGGCGCGGAGGCCGGGAGGGCCCCGGGCCTGGCTCCCGCTCACGGGGGCGGCGCTGGGGAGCTGGGGCCGCCCGCCAGGGGCCTGGAGACCCGCCCGGCCCAGCCCCGCCGGAGCGGAGGGAGTCTCTGCACCTGTGACCTGACACCTGCTGTCGCGGAGCCCGGGGCGAGCCGGGTCCCGGGACGCGCTGGGCGGAGGAGGGGAAGGCGCGCCCCGGGCTCTGGCCTCGGTCCGGCGGTTGTACAGTCTTACGTGTCAGGACAGGAGCGGCGACAGCGTTTCATCCCCACTGCGTGCGTTTTACCCACCAGCTGCCTTCAGTTGCCATAGGGCTTCTCAGAAGTTTGCCACGGACAAGATGTTTTCTTCACAGCGTTTTGTGAATATCCTAATACTAGAGCCTAACACTACCGTGGTGTTCGTGAGGATAACCTTGGCTAAGAGTAGTTTATTTCCTTTTCCTCTGAGCACACTTCTAGACCTCTAAGGAACCTTACAGATTTGGGGAATTGGGAATTAAGTTTGATTCGTCATTTTGAAGCATTACGTCCCTCCACTCTTAGATCAAATGATGTGGTGTCCTGAGGGACGGGATGTGTGGGGGAGGGAAAAGGAGCCCCACGTGCCTCCGCCTTAGTGCTGTTAGCTCGTTTATCAGGGCGCTGTGATGATATAGGCTCTGCCCGCCGCCCCCCAGCCCCTGGTGCGCTTGCTTTTCTAAGGGGTGGATGTATTGGCCTGAAGTCTAAAAGGAGATCCTTTGCAATGGCAAGGTTATAGATTTCACGTGACCCAGTTTTGGAGACCTTAGTTACAAGTGCAGTGTCTTAACCCATGGCAGTTTTAATATGGCTCATATAGGCAACATTAATGATTTAAAAAGTGAATTTAAAGAACATATTGAGCCCTTGTTGTGTGCCAGATGCAGAGAGGGATGCAGCATGTGCACTGTGCACAGCTGCACAGTTGAGACCTATATGGGGGCCGCCTTCCTCCTCTGTGACAACTTCTCAGCTCACCTTCTCAGCCCTGGGAGGTCTGACAGCTCTTCAGAGCGCAAGGATGCCGGAGGATTCTGCACAGTGAACTCCGAGGCAGAGTTCTCCAGAGGCCCTCAGCTAGCACCTCCCATCTGGAAAGCCACCAAACTATTTAAACCCCACTCTTCAGAAAAGGAGTTGCCCTTGTAATGAGGATTCACTTCTTCTTTCAATCCAGGGAAACCACAAATGCTGAGATCAAGGTGTTTTGAGGAAGGAAGTCTTTTACATCATAATCATCATTATGAGTGTTTACCAAACTCATAGAAGAAACCTGGCATGCTGTCAGTGTATGTTATAGTCTCTATTATGGCTTATGTTTCTTATCTTAAAAAGGTGTTTTATCCAAAAAGGAAATTAGGAGTCTGGAACTCATATAAGTGGAGATGGTATGAAAAACTACGCTTTTTAGTTTGTCTTAAGTAATAGTATTAGTTCCTGCCCTCATTCTTACAGTTCAAACTCATTTGGTCTTCAGAGGGGGGAAAAAAACCTCACCTTTTCTTCTGCTTCCAAGTCCAGTGATTTGCTTGCCTCTTAACAGAAAAGCTCCAGGCCTCTTCTTGATCCCTTAGCTACACTGCATTACAGACATGCTAATCTAACTTATTTGAGAATAGAGGAAACCATCGTTTCTTTTGCTGTTTTAGGAACTCCTTTAGCATGAGAGATAAGGGATGTTGTCTTGATATCCTTTGCTCCTACCTCAGGATCTGACATAGTATTTTATAGGGTGAGTGCTGAAATGAGAATTTCATTTGCAGTTTTTTTTATTGTTGCTGTTAACAGCGGTATTTGTCACTATACACTGGTGAAAATAATACTTTGGGTTAAGTTTGAAATTTCTGCTTCAGATGATGTTTATCCTATTCCCCAACTAAGGCTCGTAAAGCTAATGAAATTATACAATGAAGTATATACTAATTTGCATGCACAGTGTACCATGGGTTTGAACCGTTTTTTCAGCTCACTGACTTACAGATAAAAATCAGCTTTCCTCAGTATCTACCTTTCAAAAATCTGCAGTAGTTTTACTGACCTTCCATGTGGGTTCCCTAGAAAACTTGCTTCATTCATTCTTTAAAAAACAATATTTGACTAAATTCGGGGGGATGAGGGGAAGATGGCGGAAGAGTAAGACGCGGAGATCACCTTCCTCCCCATAGATACACCAGAAATACATCTACACATGGAACAACTCCTACAGAACACCTACTGAACGCTGGCAGAAGACCTCAGACCTCCCAAAAGGCAAGAAACTCCCCACGTACCTGGGTAGGGCAAAAGAAAAAACAGAGACAAAAGAATAGGGATGGGACCTTTACCAGTGGGAGGGAGCTGTGAAGGAGGAAAGGTTTCCACACACTAGGAAGCCCCTTCGCGGGTGGAGACTGCGGGTGGCGGAGGGGGAAAGCTTCGGAGCCGCGGAGGAGAGCGCAGCCACAGGGGTGCGGGGGGCAAAGCGGGGAGATTCCCGCACAGAGGATCGGGGCCGACCGGCACTCACCAGCCCGAGGGGCTTGTCTGCTCACCTGCCGGGGCGGGCGGGGCTGCGAGCTGAGGCTCGGGCTTCGGTCGGAGCGCAGGGAGAGGACTGGGGATGGCGGCGTGAACACAGCCTGAAGGGGGCTAGTGCGCCACAGCTAGCCGGGAGGGAGCTCGGGAAAAGTCTGGAGCTGCTGAAGAGGCAAGAGACTTTTTCTTCCCTCTTTGTTTCCTGGTGCGCGAGGAGAGGGGATTAGGAGCGCTGCTTAAAGGAGCTCCAGAGACGGGCGCGACCCGCGGCTAACAGCGCAGACCCCAGAGACGGGCATGAGACGCTAAGGCTGCTGCTGCCGCCACCAAGACGCCTGTGTGCGAGCACAGGTCACTATCCACACCCCACTTCCGGGGAGACTGTGCAGCCCGCTACTGCCAGGGTCCCGGGATCCAGGGAAAACTTCCCCGGGAGAACGCATGGCGAGCCTCAGGCTGGTGCACCGTCATGGTAGCCTCTGCCACCGCAGGCTCTCCCCGCACTCCGTACCCCTCCCTCCCCCCGGCCTGAGTGAGCCAGAGTCCCCGAATCAGTGGGGACTTTAACCCTGTCCTGTCTGAGCGAAAAACAGACGCCCTCAGGCGACCTACACGCAGAGGCGGGTCCAAATCCAAATCTGAACCTCGGGAGCTGTGCGAACAAAGAAGAGAAAGGGAAATCTCTCCCAGCAGCCTAAGAAGCAATGGATTAAAGCTCCACAATCAACTTGATATACCTGCATCTGCAGAATACATGAATAGACAACGAATCATCCCAAATTGAGGAGGTGGACTTTGAGAGCAAGATTTATGATTTTTCCCCTTTTTCCTCTTTTTGTGAATGTGTATGTGTATGCTTCTGTGCAAGATTTTGTCTGTATAGCTTTGCTTCCACCATTTGTCCTAGGGTTCTATCCGTCCGGTTTCTTTTGGTTTTGTTTTTGTTTTTAAAAAATTTTTTTCTTTTTTTTTTTAACATCTTTATTGGGGTAAAATTGCTTTACAATGGTGTGTTACTTTCTGCTTTATAACAGAGTGAATCAGTTATACATATACATATGCTCCCATATCTCTTCCCTCTTTGTCTCCCTCCCTCCCACCCTCCCTATCCCACCCCTCCAGGCAGCCACAGAGAACC